CCAGGCTCCTGGGCATCCAAGGCTCTGCTCCTCAGGGCCTGGAGGGAGCTCGCATCATCAAAGGGAGCTAGCTGCTGGGAAAGCAGTGCTGACAGACCCAGACTTCACGGGAAAGGACAGCCCCCTCTTCTAATCCCGAGCCCGCGGGTGCCAGGAGCTCTGCACAGATTGGCGTCCGGGTGGCTTTGTTAGCGCAGGTAGTGGAGTGGGGTCCTTGTGGGGCCACAAGGAAAGCCTTCCTGGAGATCCACGTATGGGAGATGGAGGCGTGGTAAGATTTATTGGTGGCACGGGATGCAAAATCAAAGGAGTGCCCCTGGGCTTGCAAAGTCTCATCTCCTCCTTCCCACCGTGAAAAAGTCCACTCTTTCTTGCCTTCATCACACCCAGACCCAGAAACAGGGCCAGTATCTGGAGATGCCGTGCCCTATTAAAGCTTAGTCCTTTGGTGCCCACACAACCTGCCATGGGCCCACGGCAGCTGCTAGACCCGCATGATTGCTATGAAGAGTATCTCAAATCTTCCCGTTCTTGCACTAGCCTGGCCTACTCTGGCCAATGACCTGTCCCCAGGTGTGACTAACAGATAAGTACCTTCCCTCTGTCACCCAGACTTCACTGGGGTTGAGTCTATTCTCCCCCATCCAGTCCCTTCCTGCCGCTACCTGGGGAGTGTTCACCATCATCAGTCAGCGGCCAACTGTACTTGCCCACTATTCTGCAACTTTGTGAGTCTGGTTTCTATTGATCTAGCTCCTTTAACTGTGAGCTATTAGCATTGCTAATTACGCTTTCTTTTTTTCAAAGTTGTGCCTGAATACTTGACTACCTCAGAGCCAGCTAGCTAGCATCCATCAAAAACTAGTTTAGATGCTGACCTCCACAAAGATCATAGAAGAGAGGTTAGGAACTTCTCAAATTAGCCTTATCAAAATTGTTCATGGAACAGCCCATAAATTCTCATATCTAACCCAGGGTTTTTGTAGTTTATTCTCATTTTGGCTATGACTAGAAGGTTGCATGCGTTCTTTCTTAGAGTCTTGCAGAATTTTAGTATCAGACATCCAGTGCCAGCTAGCTTAAGTAAGAGAAGGGAATTTGTTGTCTCGCATAACGAGGAGAATTACTGGGGAGGTTCACAGGATCAAAAAAATATAGAGCCCCAGGGCCTGCAACCAGTGACTCCATTCAGGCTCTCTCTGATGCTCTTGTTGACATCTCATCGTCTCTGTGTCTGTCTTTCTTGGCCTCATTCTTTACTTTTGCAATCTTGCCTCCATATGTGACTTTTAGTTTTTCAGCCAGAAGAGAAAGAAGGGTTGGGTTAGGTCTTTAGTCCCAATGCCAGGAAGATGGGATGCTATGGTAGGCCAGGCCTGGGCCACATGGCTGTATTCCTGTGTCAGAAGGACCACAAAAAAACTACTGCTCAGGTCAGGCCTTGACTCAAACCCATTGTCAGAGCCCCCTACCCCAGGCATAGACAGACCAACCTTGTAAGTGATCCCTGAAATATTCAAAATCCCCCAAAAGGAGAAGACAGTGCCGTAGACTATGGTAAGGCCCTGCCTGGGAACTGTGGCTTGGGGGAATTCTGTTTTGGGTTTTCACGGAGTCTCAGAATTCATTTCATTGCATCCAAGGTCCACTGTCTTACCTACTGGTAAAATAGTCACACTGAATGTTTCCAGTATTGATTGTACTTTCTCCCTAACTACTTGACAGTTGGAAAAAAAAAATTATTGATGGGGATGTGAAGGCCAGGAAGGAATGGAAAATAGCTGAGGAGGGGGAGGGGGGGAAGAGGGGGATGTGCATGGGGGTAGGGCAGGTGAGGGAAGGTCTATGGGGGGGAAAAAGGAGACATTTGTACTACTATTTGTGATTCTTTAAACAATAAAGGAAAGAAACTAGCTGCCCATTTCATGGATTTATGACAAGATTAAACTATATTAACAAAAGAGGTCAGAGCCTGGACATCATGGCTCAGTCGTTGAGCATCGACTTATGAACCAGGAGGTCATAGTTCGATTCCTGGATCGATCCCTGGCACATGCCTGGATTGCGGGCTCAATCTCCAGTGAGAGGCGTGCAGGAGGCAGCGATCAATGATTCTCTCTCATCATTGATGTTTCGCTCTCTTCTTCCCCCTTCTTCTTGTATAGCTATAAAGCACCTCTGTTATTGGAATTTCCCCCCAACATAAATATTTTAAAAAGAGGCCAGAACTTTTTATTTACTACTACTCTCTATGACTTATGGGTATATTGTTGATTTTTGTTTTTAACTTTTCAAGTAAGGAATATTTGACACGTTTATGAAATCCACATGTATTCAGGGACTCATTAATCTTAGTGCCAGGGGTAAGGCTTGTTTTTAGGCCCATGGGATCTTGGATCTTGATCTTGGATTGAGATCAAGATCAGTTAGACTCGACTTTAAGAAGTAATGTTGTGCTCCCTTTAAATATGTATAAGGATACTGAAGTAATCCTGGTAATTATTTGAAGAAAGTACTACAGTGGAGGTCTGGGACCATTCACAGTTGCTTGGGAATGCACTCACAGTCAGTCACTGGTTCTTTGGCAGTTCTTTATGGAGGGCCCTGACTGTGCTAAGTGCTAGAAACAATTGTGTAGGGTAATACGCCTGATCCTACCGCCTTAGAGCCTGGTTTAGGGTTTTGCCCAGGTGAGAAAATGGCCCACTTCTAAATTTGAATTGGGATCCAGTATTAAAGACGACAGTGCATAGAAGTGAAGATAAAACCTACTTGATATCTCCCAGAAGCAAAGGGGCAGGTAGAGGGTGGGAACTTGATTCTTGTATCAGAAAGACTTGGGTTTGACTCTTAGCAAAGACACTCCTTAGCTTTGTGACATTGGGAAATGAGTTCACTTCTTTTTTTTTCTTTTTTCTTTTCTTTTTAAATCTTTATTGTTTTTTTTTTTTTAATCAATCTTCATTGTGCATATTATTACAAAGGTTCCTCATTTCTTCCCCCCTCCACCAGGCTCCCACCCCACCCTCCGCCCCCTCCCCATCCCCCATTGTTCTCATCCATAGGTGCACAGTTTATGTTCAGTCTCTTCTTCCCTCCCTTTCCCCAATAGTAAATCCCTTTTCAGATAGTAAATCAGTTACTTAGCATTTTCTCATATCAATAATACCTCCACATGCCCAATGATATACTTCACACAAAAGACATTTCCCAATAATCAACTAGTCTCTGTCAACTAGCCTCATCCAGGCCCCACCCAAGGCACTCACAGATCAACACCCCAGCCCTATATTAAGTCAACACATCCAGATCTAAGCCTTCATCACTTGATTCAGCAGACCCTCAAGTTCCCGCGAAAGTTTCCAACCATGTCTGAGAGGCAGCCGTGGGGCAGGGGCAGGCGAGGAGCGAGCTGTTCCGGGCCTGGCTGCTCTGGGCCTGGCCTCTGTTGCTCTGGTTTGTTCCACAACCAGCTGCTCCGGGTCTGGTCACTGCTGCTCCCGACCTAGTTGCTCTGGACTTGGCTGCTGCTGCTCCAGGCCTGGCCGCACCTGACCCGGCTGCTCTGAGCCCAGCTGCTCGGGCCCTGCCGCTCTGGGCCTGGCTGCTCCCAGCCTGGCAGCCGCTGCTCCGGGCCTGGCCGTTCCCAGCCTGGCAGCTGCTGCTCCAGGCCTGGCTGCACCCGACCCGGCTGCTCTGGGCCTGGCCGCTCCCAGCCTGGCAGCCGCTGCTCCGGGCCTGGCCGCACCAGACCCGGCTGCTCTGGGCCTGGCCGCTCCCAGCCTGGCAGCCGCTGCTTCAGGCCTGGCCGCACCCGACCCGGCTCCCCCGGGCCTGGCTGCTCCCAGCCTGGCAGCCACTGCTCCGGGCCTGGCTGCAGCCGACCCGGCTGCTCTGGGCCCGGGGCAGCCGCTCCGAGCCTGGCCTGAGTTCACTTCTTTAAGTCTCTGTTTTCTCATCTGTAAAATGGGACTGATAAAAACACAAACCCAAAGGGATTGTTTGATGTTTTAATAAGATAATCCAAGGAAGACATTTAGCATTGTATGGGTACATTGCTTGAAAATCACTATGATAATTGTAATAACTTTAGGAATCATGATTTTTTTGGTCCCTGTGTCCTCTTTCCATCGTGCACTTACAACGTCTCCCAAATCTCCATACAGAGCAAACCACCACTACCACCTGGGGCACGGGGAGGTAGGAGGGGGCGATGGGTGTGGGGGGGAGGACGTGAGGTTTTTAGCAGAGACTTTAGAATTAGGGTGACTTGGGGTTACATGCAGGATTCACCGCTCAGAGATCCAGTTCCTCAACTGTAAAGTGAGAGTAACACAGGTTGGGAGGGTTAGCGATAATAATGAGCTCCACTACAGGTTGGCTTTTTAAAAATTCCTTATCTGGCCATCTTTGTGAGCCCAGGCCATGGTGGCGGTTTAAGCGAGGATCTCTAGAAGACAAATCTTAGCTGTCCCTGATGTCAGTGTTTTCCTTCTAGCCCTGAGCCAGACTTCATTGCTTTTCGTCTGGCCTGCATGGTTTCCTTCAAGCCAAGGTTGTTGGAGCCATGATAACGGGCACTGACACTTGGAAATAGGCTCTTCAGATAACTCCTCCTGGCATGACTGCCAATGAAGAGAGAACATAGAGATCAATCTCAGCCCCACAAAGGGTGGATGTGTAAGACTGAACCGCAAATGCACACTGATATGGTTGTGATTTTGCATCAGGACTGGCAAGAGACATTAGCAAATAAAAGATTTGTTTGAGATAGAAAAAATGATGTGCAAAGGTCAAAGTTTCTTGAGGAAGGTTCTCTTTGCTTCTGTCTGCTACAAATCAATAAAGCGTCTGCGTTTCCCCAAGTTATTCATTCTTTGCATCGGAGATTCTTCCACTGACACCACTGCACTCGAGTCCCTATTGAGAAGAAAAAACGCATGGGGTGGTTTAAAAGCTCTGTGCCATCTGCTGACATTCTCCCTGTTTGTGCCTTACAGCCTACTTCTGCTTCCTCCTGACGGCTCTGGGTGTGACAGCGGGTGCCCATCGCTTGTGGAGCCACAGGTCCTACAAGGCCAAGCTGCCTCTGAGAATATTTCTGGCTGCCGCCAACTCCATGGCTTTCCAGGTAGGGATGGCATGCATGTTCCTCCACACACATTCTAGACCTACCGCTCTGGCCCCAAGCCCCCCCTGCCTCTCCCAAGTTTCCTCTCCTTGGAGCTTTACATGCTGTAAGATGTCACCTGGGACTTCGTGGCTCAAGACCTCAAGACGTCGATTCCCAAAACTGTGCTGAACCACAGAGGAGGAAGGAGATACCTCCCTCCAAAGTCCCAGCCCTCCACATGCCCCGAAACCCTCTGTTTTTGTCCAGCTCGAATGAGAGCCAAGTTCCGTGCTGAGTGTGCTATATCCGTACAGCATGTGATCCTCACTGTGACCCCTTGCATTAGGTGTTATCTGTTCTTGTTTTACAAATGAGGAAACTAAGGCTTAATGAAGTTAAAGAACGAATCTCAGAGGGAAAGTGGGGGAGGGAGGGTTGGTGGGAAGTAATCAACTAAAAAGACCTTGTGTGCCTATATGCAGAACCCATGGACACAGACTATAGGGTGCTGAAGGCCTGGGGTGTGGGGTGTGGGACGGAGGGCAAGCTGGAAAGGGTCAATGGGGGGGCGGGGAAGGGGACATACTAGTATGTAATGCTTGCAACAATAAAGAATTATTTAAAGAAAAAAACACACGAAAAGAACATAGCCAAATTATATGACTAAAAAATGGAACATCTAGAGTAAGCAAATTTGGGTCTGATACCAAGCCATTACTCCTACAAAACATATTTTCGAGGTCACTCTCTAAGTTTGTAGTGGAATGCCTATTCAATATGGAGTCGGAAGACTCAGGATTTGAGTCTACTGGTTGCTAGTTGTGTATCACTTACTCATCTCCAGTTTCTTCATCCGTAAAAACATGAATGTGACTTTACTCCCAGAGCTGCTATGAAACCATTGAAAATTTCAAGGAGCTATAAAAAATGTAAGAGAGCTGGGATTGGGCTCTCATTCTCAGGTCTATTCCAGTCGTAGGCTGTTTCCCACAGGCTGGGTCCCTTTCTGAGCTGCTGGAAGTTTGGATTGATCATAAATCTGTTTTCCAGTTCCTCATCTGACCCAGGCAGGGTGAGTGGAAACAACTTGTTTTCCAAGTCCGTGCTCTATATGTGTGCAGGTGGTTCCAGACCCCTTAAATTGCCACCCATTGGGAAGAAAGGGCAATTCCCAAAACTGTGTTAGAATCCAAGGAAGCAAGTGACCCAGAAACCTCTCTGTGACTTCAGACATGGAAGTCGCACGGCCACCTCTGTGACGCGCCTCCCATCCCTCTAAGACAGCCTGACCTTCAGCATTTCTCTGTGTTGCTCTTGTGTCTAAGGATTTGAATCCCTATTTTAGGCTTCCCTCCCACAGTTGGGGCATTCATAAAGCAAATAGGATCTAACACAATAGATGGTTTAGGGAGCACAGTTCGTATTCTGAATACCTCTTGGTTATAATTCAAGCACAGTCGGGAATTAGAACCACGGTTCTAGGGTAGCAGCTGTTGGGCACAGAGGAGTGGTCGGCAGCTCCTTGGTTTTGTGTTTTATTCACCTCTGGCATGGTGGACTGCGCTGCACTTTGTTTTGACTTCAACCGTCTTAGTTCAGGCTGGTGCTGTTATTTTTTTTTTTATCATAACAGTGAATTATAATCATAATAATTTGGAAACTCATTGACTCAGATCTTAGATGCTACTGAGGACTTAGCTCAGTAATTTTCATTTGTTTTGGTTAAGCAGTTTATTATTTTTAGCCTCCAATTACACACTCGTATAGTTATAAAGCACCTCTATTATCGGAATTGTTTCCCAACATAAATAACTTGAAGTTGAGAGCTTAAACCTCTTTCTCATGGAAACTATTTGTTTATAACTCAGTTTTTTAGAACCCAAGTTTCCTTAATAAAACATCCCATAATGGAACATCACACGGTGATTTTAAATTTACTTTGGGGAGAAAGTTCATTGTAAGCCCAGGTCCTGGAATAAATTCTCGGCTCTCCATTTGCTACATGTGGGTCTTTGTACAGGTCTCTGTTTCTTTAAATGCCTGACACTTGGAAATATGCTCTTCAGGGTAAAAATATACACCTCACAGAGTTGTTGGGATGATGGAATAATGAACAAAAAGTGCCTACATTATAGCAGCACTCGCAGAATATCCTTTCTCCTCTTCTTCATTAGAATGGCACACCATCTCATTCATTTCTGTGTTTTAGTGCCTATCTAATGGAAAACCCTCAATGATTATTAAATGAATTAATAGTTTTAAAAAAAATATTTTTAGAAATCATCAAATTGGAACTATGCCTACATGCCTACATTTGTGGTGGATTTTTTTTTCCATTTGACAAATATTTATTGAGCACCTACTATGTGGCAGATACTGAGCTAAGCCTCAGTGGGCTTAATGATTAGCAAACACACAGACCTTGCCTCCATGAAGCCTTCTATCTATCTAGCATTTCCATAGTTTCCCAGTGGAAATGTCAGTGCTCCTCGGGTCTGGGGTTTTATAACAATGTCACTTAGACCTAAGTGAGAGGTGTTTGTAAGATCAGCAAAGGGCCAACTCCCATACAATGCATAACTGTATCACAGGAAAAGAATACAGTCGATCCAGACCACTTAACCATAGGAACAGAACCACCTGGGAAAGTAAAAAAATGTGTCATGATCTACTAGTCCAGGGCCGTGGTCGGCAAACCGCTCCTCGCGAGCCACATGCGGCTCTTTGGCCCCTTGAGTGTGGCTTCTCCAGAAAATACCACGTGAGGGCATGTATGTACAGTGCAATTGAAACTTCGTGGCCCAGGCGCAGAAGTCGGCTTTCGGCCTGGGCGAGTCTATTTTGAAGAAGTGGTTCTAACGCAGAGCCACACTCAAGGGGCCAAATTGCCGCATGTGGTTTGCGAGCCGTGGTTTGCCAACCGCTGGTCTAGGATATTGACCTATAGCCCTGACGTAGTGCAGAGTCATTGATTTAGTTTCCCTTCGATGTCCCCCTGGATTTTTGAAGGTAGTTTCAAGGGTCCTCTTCTGCTTTCTTCCATCAAAATGGTCATGCCGTTGGCCAAAATGGACAAATGCCACGGTCATCTCTGAGGATCAGCAGGGCTCTTTCTAGATGCTACACACAAGATCTTGATGGTCAAAAACAATCTTCTTGCCGAAACTGGTTTGGCTCAATGGATAGAGCATCGGTCTGCAGACTGAAGGGTCCCAGGTTCGATTCCGGTCAAGGGCATGTACCTTGGTTTCGGGCATATCCCCAGTAGGGGGTGTGCAAGAGGCAGCTGATCGATGACTCTCTCTTATCGATGTTTCTAACTCTCTATCTCTCTCCCTTCCTCTCTGTAAAAAAAAAAATCAATAAAATATATATTTTTAAAAATCTTCTTAAATTTGGGACTTAGACGTTTGAAATTCCCTCCTCTCTCTTTCGTACAGAATGTATGTATTGGGCAGAGGGTTTTAGTGAGAAAGGTGGAGGTACTTTTAGTCTGAAAAGATGTCTTTCTACTGTTGTCTTTGGGTTTTCCTAGAGACTTTTTCTTAAATAGAGATCAACACCTTCCGTTCTTTTATTTGAAATCCCGTTACCATACAGCAGCCCCGTTGACATGGAGGGGAGGGTAAGCCTTCTGTAGCCCTGTGTTTGGGTTTCAGTCACGGTGGTGAATCATGGAGTTTAATATTTCCCTCCCCACAGGCCAGCCAGGCTTTGGTAAAACCCAGCTGATTGGGCTCTGGTAAAATAGTTTCTCCTGAGAACAGACCTCAATAAGGAAAACACAGAGCTCTGTGCAGAGCTGACATTTCAAAGCGGTTACTCTTCTTCTTTTCCTGCTACAAGAGCAAGGGAATTTTTCCAGCTATTCATGGTGAGAACCTGGTAGGGCCCCTGGAGGTAAAATGAACGTGTGGAGCCCCCTAGGACTGAGCCCTCTAGGAGTTTTAAATTATCAAGCTTGTCCACAATAAGCCTCCAGTAATTCATTCATTACACTTTAGAGTATTCCTACCTGGTCTGGCATTTGCTCCTGGGCCTCTGATTCCCTGTAGCTGCCTGTTTGTCTCTCTAGTTTTGGGGCCAGCAGTTTATCTATGATCTCAGTTCTCTGAAGGATCTAAGAAGAATTGTTGATTTCAAGTTTGTTTGGCTTTTTTATTTTTTCTTGTTGCAAGGATGGGACCGACTACTTCCAGCTCTCTGCACGTCAGACCAGAAAGTGGACGTTACAGTGTGATTTGTGACTATGCCAACACAATCACATGGTCACGGGCCATGATCTTGGGCAGGTATAGAACAACAGAAACAGCACGTTGTTGTTTTTTGTTTTGTTTGTTTGTTTGTTTTTTAAAATATATTTTATTGACTTTTTACAGAGAGGAAAGGAGAGGGATAGAGAGTTAGAAACATCGATCAGCTGCCTCCTGACACCCCCCACTGGGAATGTGCCCGCAATCAAGGTACATGCCCCTGACCGGAATCGAACCTGGGACCTTTCAGTCCACAGGCTGATGCTCTATCCACTGAGCCAAACCGGTTTTGGCAGAAACAGCACGTTTTGAGTGCTAACCACTTGCCCACTTTTCATTAAGTACATTAGCCATCTGACAATACCCCTACAAAGTAGATGCTGTTATTGTCCTCATTTGAGAGGAGATAACTGGAGAAAGAAAGAGGCCATGCGACCTGACCAAGGACGTACAGATTTGATGACAGAAGCGGGGGTTCAAGTGCAGAAGGCTTGACTCCAGAGGTCACTTCTCTCTGCTGCTCTAGGGCCTCTCCCGGGACCCAGGGGTACCTGTATCCCTTCATTTTACAGATACACCTGGGCTAAGCATTGTTCCCTGCAGTGGAGAACAAGACGGATGAGGTGCCTGTCCTCAGAACGTGTACCTTACAGTGGGGGAGAGAGCAAATAAGGAAGCAGAAGAATAGGAAGAATTTCAGCACGGCAGTGTGACCAAGAGTGACAGGGAGGCAGCTTCTTTAGAGAGGATGGTATGAGAAGACCT